ACACAGATGCCAGACTTAAGGGGGTGAATCTCTCAATAGAGGGACGCCAGCTAAAATAAACACTGGTTAAAGTTTATTTTGATCGCAGTTCTTTTAACCGCACTTAGAGGTACTAGGGGCTTTGAAGGGTGTTCTTGTAGCTTTTAGAAAGTTTAGAAGAACATTCTTTGATCAGTCTAGGCCAAGTAAGAATATTAAGTAAAATATTATGGGATACTATTGATTCATAACCTGATGGTTTCATTAATGTATGAAAAGAATTTTAAGCCCGCGTTTTGCGTTATTGAGTTCTTAAGCGGTATTTCTTTGCATGCAAGCAAACAAACGGGCAACATCAACCAAAACAACTTTACTGTCGTTCTACATTTCCGCCTTAGGTTTCGTGGATTTTTTTCTTTCCCTCCCCGAATGTACGGCATATACTAACTTTTATGTGCTGGATATTTCTGTCTAAGCCCTGCGTCTACATTCTCCGATTTGAGTAATTGGGTAATGCACTCTTTATTTTATTTTTCAGCCCGGTAGGTTAACAACCACATTCCAACAACATCCCAATCCAGTCTACATGTATCTCAAGGTGGGTTAGCAATGACGCGGTGTATAAGTCAACCTTTGACGCTGGGCTACATACAGTACTTCCTATGAAGCGTAAGAGTCATTTGCGCGACTTAAAACAGGCGGAAAGTCTTCTTCGCAATGAGCTTCTAATATGCTGCATCTTGAGTCAGACAGTCAAAAGCCTTCTTAGAACTTAGAAGAACATCAATACAAAGTTGTCTTTTGTCACTCGCTGTTTGTTTAAGGAACATTCATGTGTTGATCAACTCTGATTAAGTGCCAGCAAGAAACTGATAAAAGTACACTTCTTGTTCTGTGTGGGTGTGGTCCTTTTGCATGTTAAAGCCTGCTCCAGACTCCCAATCAAGAGAAACGAGCAAAAAAACGCAACGGGTTGAATGGGAGAACGAAAAAGATGATCAGCCACCATTCTACCGGCTCAGTCCTAACAAGGGGAGACTAGTGGCTTTCCTCTCTCGTATTCACTTCTAGTTTTCCTTTCCCTTTTCGCAAACTGTGAATCAGGAAAAATCAAATAGGGCTTAAAGAAAGAAAAACCTCGAGTCTAACGTGGACCACGCTCTGCTTAATATGTATTAGTATCACCCAACTAGTGGACTAATGCAAATCCTGCATTTTGATTGGCTACGCTACTAGAGGACTATTAGTGATAGTCCTCGAGTAGCGAAATTGGCGCAATCGAGCGTGACGCTTTCTTTCGTTTTATTCCCAAATAAATATTTCTTCAGCTTGCATTTACTAACTTTGTTATTGCCTTTTCCGTTCGACTAGTTGGGTGATACTAGAACAATTAGACTCTTCGCCCTTAAGGGCCACGGGTCTATAGCCCATTCGCCTTCGCTTCATGGGCTATTGACCCGTAACCCTTGCGGACTACGGGTCTAATTGTTAATTAATCTCTAGCTAGAAAGACACTTTCCAGTCCAACTGTCTCAAGTTCAGAACAGATGCTTGATATAACCCCTTGTAGTTCTGGACGGAAATTCTCAGTGCATCAGTCAGAGGTTCTTTGTGTATGTTATCCGGATATAAGTAATGATAGTCCCTGCATTTGTTCATGCTGCATAACTAGTTTTGGCCTGTGGACAGTATTGATTTTAGACCAAGCTGAAGACAGATCCGACGAGAGCTAAAATGAGAACTACAGGTCAATTAACAGCTTTATTGAAGTGTCAATGTATTTAGTATTAACTACTAATTGGGGACACAACAAAAAAGTTAAAATTATTGACAATTAACAACTAAACAACCAAACCACAAAATATCCATCAATTAACAAATAGACGAGATTTTCCCATGACTCACACTCTTATAGCCCACCATAATGATAATGACGTCATAATGTGTGCAAAACGAGAGTGGCCGCGCCGCACGCGAGGGGGTTTTTAGTGCAAAAGTTGGATATTTTGTGGCTTAGTTGTTATGGTATACTACAAAGGCTTGTTTTCACTTACGCTGGAGTGGTAATGATAAGGAAATTGTGCCATTATCTCGATGGAATTGGAGTCGGGGGAATTGGAATGTTTCCACTTTCTTTAGGGATCAACCGAGTCCAAGAGTAAGGTTGTCCTGAAGCGTACGCCACAATGTTCGAGATGTATTATGGGAAATGGCAGAAGGAAACAACATAGACTACGAGCAGTCTCTCTTTTATTCGAAGATCCGTGTGGGGGAAAGAAACACGAACGAACGAGAACAGGCGGATCTTCAATCAAGTTTGTTTTTCCTTCATTATATTCTCGCCGAGACACTCTGAACCTCAGAGCAACTTCCTTGTGTACAGGCCCCGCCGACTAAGAGGGACCGGGCTCTGGGGTCCAGAATGAAACAAAACTTACCCTGTCCACCCCTATCAACAGGGATTTTTCGCTTATTTCCGGGCGACAAGACACTCGAGGCACTCAACACTTCTTGCAAACATCTCCTTATGACAGCGGAAACCTATAAAATATTTCTATTTACAGCAAGCAGAGCTCGAGGAGCTGATTTTCCAGCTTCTTTTCGCTGTTGTGTCGCCGGTTCCAGCAGGAAATAGAGGCAGTTATCTGTTCGTGTCAATGCCCATGAGTGTTCGCAGCCGCGTTCGGAAGTCCATTTCAAAATCTGTCAAAGGCAGTGCCTGTAAATTTCGATTTACGGTTACCTATGAATACGTCGACCTAAAATGCAACAACAGATGGTAAGTCGAATTCCCTGTTAATGTTAAACTTTTCACAGTACACTCTGGCAAGGAAACCACAAGCCATTTTGGCTTTCATACAGGAGATGCCGCGGAGCCTATCTGTCAAATGCTACTCAGTAAGTCTGAGGAAGTTTCTGTCCAAAATATGCTTTGTCGTAAAAATTATTTGTATCGAGTGTCGCAACTAGCAAAGATTAATAGAGTTGGGCAGAACAATGGATTAATTAATTGCTTGTTTCCTCTTAATCGAATGAACAACTCCTTTGAGATCAAAAAGCCTATCAAAACAATCTTGTTTTGAAAGAAACACAGGAAGAGGTAGGCAATGTTTTTGTAAAAATATTCAAACCTTTATTGAGTACGTACCTTATTTGGTGCAAATTTTCAGTTTGAAACTTCCTACAGAGATATAATTAGTCATTTAAAAGGCACTTCAATTAGAGTATTTTGCACACTTTATGGCTGTATCATTTAATTTACTAAGCAGTACATCAAAATGGCAATATTTCCTATTTTGGCGATTTATTCATAATACGGACTGTTTATGAAGGCATATAACTTTTTCAATCAAAGGTATACGAAAGGGGCACCTTTTCTATCAAAATGGTATACAAAAAGGGTCAGACCTTGGGGCAGAGCCTCCCCGTATAAAACTTTGTAGAGTACCCCCGGGACTTGGTCAAATGTACGAGTTTCTTTTGTATCATATTATTTTGTAATATTTTGCTCAACACAATAACTAATGGATACAAATTTGTGAATTTTTATTTCTTATTAATTGAACAGGCAGCCAACTTCTCTGAGTATCGTTTGGTTCAGAAGTCACCGCTCCAAAGTGTCAGAGAAGGTAATGTCTGTTCTGACAATTTTCTTTGCAAATGTTGAATCAATATTCATTAAGCTTATTTTATATGCATGAAATTTGAACAGATACATTTGATGATTTTATTACTCAATTGCGTATAATAGACCTCTTTAGCTTGGGCGGTTTGTTTTCCCATTACAGACCACGTGATGATACTCTTGAGAATTCTTGCTTTCCAATTTTTAAATAGTCGCATGTACATGCTTGAATAATTGTAAGATGGATAAAAGAAAAATTCTCTGGAGAATATCGTGTGGTCTACAATGGGAAAACAAGCCGCCCAAGCTAAAGAGGTCTATTCACTACCTCTATTTTCATAGTCTGAGAGCATACAATTAGCTATAAATTGTGTCATACTACTCACTGATTTGCTATATAGTGAGTCTAAATAGGCCTCATACATAAGAGCCTTCCTTACAGAAAAGAAGACCCGACTTGGATTACATTGGCTATGTACAGTCACAGGTTTTTCTAATGGAAACCAATAGTATATCCATGCACTGATATAATTTAGTGAACAGAAATTGAAAGCATGATGATGTTCAAGCTCGAGGGTTTAAATTGCTTCTAGTGTTGGAAACTTACAATAATTATTCTTGGATGTAGGTTCAAAAAAGCAGTTGCTGCCTGATGGTTCTACAGGTTTCAAGATTGGCCTCATGGTTTTCCACACCTAGAGTTTAACTACATGGTGCATGCAGCATATTTTTTTTATGTACTGAAATATTGCTTTTTGTTCATGTTCATTAATCACAGCCCACATCAAAAGTGTCTATAACAGATGAAAAGACAGGAACAGTCAGCTATGCTGCCAACTGGTTCCCACCCAACTCTGTGGAGTTGGTTGTTACTCTGTACAAGGTATACAATCATAAGAAAATAGTATATATCTTAGCTATGGTAACATTACGATTTGTACACAATTTCTTTTGATAAGCATGACAAGGCGCAACTTAAGAGCCACTGCCCACAAATATGGACCAAACAATGGCACAAGTCAAAAAATCGATTTTGCTCATTTTTTGCCCATAGATTGGCCCTAGCTAGATAACAAACAGACCATAGTTAGTTTCCGCTAATGCAGTTTTTTTTGGAAGAAATTCGCGAAAAACGATTTCGCCCCGATTGACCTCAAAATCTACTTCCAGTTATGCTGAATTTTCTGAAAATTTGATTGCTTCGTGCGTCGCAAAACAGCTACTTGAAAATCTTTCAATGGTTTTTATATTCAGCTCAGGTCTTCATGGTATGACTGAGTGAAAAATAAAATAAATCGAGGTTTCTTTTGAGCCCGAAACGAGATCGAATAGACACACAAAATATTACAATGTGTTGAAAGTGAATTATAGCACTAAAATATCGCCATATTTTTCTATGGGCTATAACTTTAAATGCCATAAAAACAATTTCTATGGCTTAGCTATACACCCACCTGTTTGAAAATCAAAAAACATCTCTGGGCAAATGGTTTTAAGTCGCCCGCCTTGGCCTGTGTTTCTCATAATTTTTTCCCTGAACTGCCGTGGGAATGTGAACAATTGTGTGACGTGGGCGATCACTCTGAATACATAATTCGTTTCCAACAAACCGCAGATGGCTATCTTCAGTAGAACATTTGGATGAAAAAAAAAACATAATGGACCACTTTTAACTTTAATATTTTGAAAGGCATCGCTTTAGAAATTTTGCTAATTAAAAATGCCAATTAGAAGCAATTTACTTGGCGCTCGGGTGTTTACTGCTATGTCATTTTAAGCTGTCGTTCTTTCTTTGATCATTTTAATTTCAAGAACGAGTTCTAGAAAGAAAATCGTTCTAAGTTTATTTGTTAAGCGTAATAACAAGTTGATATTGTTGGTTTGTAGCCTTACGTGATCTGAAGGAACGCTACACTACTACAGTGATTAAATTTGTATTTGTTGATTTCGACGGATCGATTGCCGGTTAAACGTATCTTATTTGTACCAGTCACCTTGTCGACATTTGGTGCCTTTTCTCCTTCTAAAAGGTCGGAAAAGTAAACTAAACAAATCCTAAAAGTTCAAATCATAAATAAGAAACATCAACAGTGCCAATATCTCGGTAAGCTATTAATTTGAACAATTACTGTGCTGGACGGATTGCTTTCCAGGTTACGCACGTACTGTACATATAGTTAGTTGTGCGCGAATGTTTCTTTTCAAACAAGTAAAATGCTAAATAACATTTTGTTATATGGCTAGCTCCGTAAGCGGGCAAGATGAATCAAATCCTGCGCTGTGATTGGCCACCCGAGC